TTTAGAGGTGGACACATGCCCGCCTCTGCTATTAATAAATTGAAAAACAGCAAGCACATCGATGGGCCCGGCTGAACCCCTCGTTGAGGCCCGCCAAGCCCATCGACGCGCCGCTACTGCTGCTTGCCAGAAACGCGGCCACCGTCGCTGTGGCCGCCGCTACGTACTCTGCCTCGCACGTAGATAGCGCCACCACCTTCTGCTTCAGTGACATCCATGAAATTGGGGCCGACCCGAGGAAGACGAGCACAACAGAGGTGCTCCGTCGCCCGTCGATGTCCCCCGCTATGTCTGCACCGCTGAACACAGTGAGTTGCAGCCTACTTTCGCCAGTCTTTGGGAAGATGACCCCGTGATCTACCGTCCTCTTGACGTAGCGTAGTAGCCGCTTCACCGCAGCCCAGTGATCCTCTCTGGGATCCTCCATGAAGCGACTGATGTAGCCCACGACGAACGCAATATCCGGCCTCGTGTGGACTAGGTAGCGTAGACCGCCGATGATGCTCCGGTAGAGTGTCGCATCCACCTTTGCCGTGGTACTAGCCTTTGTCAGTTTCAGTCGCTCGTCCATCGGAGTCGCGCATGGCTTGCACTCAGCCATGCCGCTCCTCTCCAACAGCTTGGAGGCATACGTGCTCTGACCGAGCGTGAGTTCCTCCTTCCCCTGTCTCACCTCGATGCCGAGATAGTAGGAGAGTGCGCCGAGATCGCTCATTCGAAAACGAGCCGCCATCTCGCGTTTAAAGCTGTTGATGTCCTTCGAGCGCGCGCCGGTGACGATTAAGTCATCCACATACACGCCGACGATGAGCTCCTCCTTCCCCCATCGCCGCGTGTAGAGCGCGTGCTCGGTTGCGCATCGTTTAAACCCAAGCTCGCCCAACGTGGTGTCAACCTTAGCGTTCCATGCTCGAGGGGCCTGCCGCAGCCTGTAGAGCACTTTGCCCAGTCGGAGCACCCTGTGCTCCTCTCCCTTGACGGCGAGACCTGGAGGTTGCCTGACGAAGACCGTCTCCGCCACCTCGCCATTTAGGATGGCCGATTTAACGTCCAAGTGATGGATGCGCCAGTCCTTTGCTGCTGCCAAAGCAAATAGCAAACGGACCGACTCCGTGCACGCTACTGGCACAAAGACCTCCTCAAAGTCTATGCCCTCGCGCTAAACAAAGCCTCCGGTGACGAGGCGCGCCTTGTGCTTGACAATGGCGCCGAGCTCGTCCCGCTTGACTTTGTACACCCACTTCAGGCTGATCGGTCGGCATCCTGGAGGTGGATCGACGAGCTGCCAAGTCTTGTTTTCCTCGATTGCCTTCATCTCCTCCAGCATCGCCCGTCGCCAGTTTCCATCGCGCTCGGCAAGCGCGAACGTGGGTGGTTCCTCAGCACTGACGAGTAGCAGCTCTGCATCATTGAGCAGCCTACCCGCCAGACCTGAGGGACCTGTGCCACCGACGATGTCATCCAGCCTGTGGAATCACACCTCCTCACCTTCGTGGAAGGCATCCACGAACTCAGTGATGTCACTTGGAGGTGAGGCGAACTCGATCGGCGTCGATGGAGTTCCCTGTTCCGCCAGAGTGCTTCGCATAGCACCATGAGTGCTTGGCACTACTTCTGGACAGCTCATCATAACTCCTACAGTGTTCGGCCACACTATAGGAGTGTCCTGCCTCAGTCTTGGAGTGGTTGACACCACTGTAAGGCGTCTTGGCTCCGCCACGGGAGTGCTCGACACCCGTCCTGGAGTGGTCGCCACCACTGTAGAACCTCCTGGCACCACTCCTGGCGTGCTCGGCATCCCTCTCGAAGTGCTCGGCACTGCCCCAGGAGTGCTCGGCTCTACCGCTGGAGTGCTCGGTACTCCTCCCGGAGTGCTCGGTACTTCTTCCCCAGCGTCTTCAGCACCGTGGATGACCAAGTGCTCGACGACGAAGGTGTTGGTGAAGCTGCCAGCTTCCCCCGTGCTCGGACTGCTCCAGTCCCAAGCCGCCTCCTTGTTGAACATGATGTCGCGCGAGACAAGCACCTTGTCTCCGCGTGGGTCGTAGAGCTGATACGCCTTGGTACCCTCCGCGTAGCCCAGGAACACCATGGGTGTGCTCCTGTCCTCCAGCTTGGTGAGGTTCGGCTTTGTCTTCCTGACGTGGCCGATGCAGCTAAATGTTCGGAGGAAGGACACGCTCGGCTTGCGCCCATACCAAGCTTCGAACGGCGTCTTGCCCATCAGTGCCTTGGTCGGAGATCGGTTGAGGATGAACACTGCCGTGGTCACTGCCTCACCCCAGAACCTTGTCGGCATGCCTTTGGCCTTCATCATGGATTGGGCCATGCTGACCACCGTCTAGTTCCATCGCTCCACCACGCCATTCTATTGTGGCGAGTACGGCCCGGTGTGGTGTTGCCCCATACCCTGATCCACGCAGTACGCAGCAAACTCCACCGAGGTGAATTCGCCACCACGATCAGTTCTCAGTACGCGGAGCTTCTTGCCACTCTCGGCCTCCGCGCGCGTCTTGAACTTCTTGATCGCCGCCGCCGCTTCGTCCTTGCTCGTCAGGAATTGCAGCCACATGTAGCGACTGTAATCATCCACAAGCAGGAGGAAGTGCCGCCGACCACCATTTGTAGCAGGCATGATCGGCCCACAGAGGTCGCCATGTACGAGCTCGAGAGCTTCTTTCGCTCGATACTTGGCCGCCTTTGGGAAAGGTAGCATCCTCTGTTTTCCGGCCAGGTAGCTGTCGCACAGGTCGCCTCCATGCTTGATGCGGGGTAGTCCTCGGACTATCTTCTCTAGCCGACCAAGCACATCGAAGCTGAGATGTCCGAGCCGGGCATGCCACATCCACGGTTCCTTGGAGTGCCTTGCCGCTAGGCACACCGGCTGCTCTACCTTTAGGTCGAGCAGGTACAACCGGTTCAGGGACCTCTTCACCTTGACAAGAAGTCGCTGCTCCCGGTCCCTGATCCTAAGGACTCCGTCCTTGATCAGTACCTCGCTACCGCGCTCATCCAGCTGACCAAGGCTGATGATGCTGGAACGCAGCTGCGGGATGTAATATACATCCGTTAGTGCGCGGTGCTCCCCGTTCTGGCATCTGAAGATAATGGTGCCGCGCCCTTGAATAGCCACCCTTGAGCCGTCACCAAACTTCACCGTACCGGTAACATCGCCGTCGAGTTCGGAGAAGGATGCCTTGGGGCCCGTCATGTGGTTACTGGCACCAGAGTCCAGATACCACCGCTGCTCCCGCCCACACGCCCGAGGTGAACTTGGGCGCGTGGTTCGTTGAGGTTGACGGTCTTCAGGGCCTTCCCAGGTCCTTTCACCGTCGTCGCCTCCTCCCTCTCCTCGGCCTCGACGTCGTGCAGTGCACAGAACGTCGCCATCAGGATAGTGGCCTCATCCTCATCATCGGCTTGCGCCAAATGAGCGTGAGCCTTCTTTTCCTGCTTGCAGTTTGGGCACTCCCGTGCCCAGTGGCCCATCTTCCCGCAACGCCGGCAGGCGTTGGGGTCGATCTGCTTCTTCTCCGAAGAAGACTTACCGCGGCGCTTGCCATCGCCACCGCGGCTGGAGGAGGCTGCCTTCCCGGAGTTCCTCCGAGCAACCCACTCCTCTTCCGTCAGCAGGAGTTTCCTGCTGTCCTTCGTTGCGGTCGCCTGCTCCAGACGCTCGTCCACCGCTCGCAGACGGCCTGTCACATCCTCAATGATGAGGGTGGACAAGTCCAGCATCGTCTCTATAGAGAGAGCGATCTGGATGTACTTTACCGGCACAGAGTGGAGGTACTTGGAGACCGCCTTCTCTTCGTCAATGGTGACGCCATGTCTCTTCAGCTTGCTGATGAGCGTCTGCAGGCGGGGGGAGAAGTCCTCCACCGTTTCACCATCCTTGAACTTGAGGTTGGCGTACTCCTGCTTTAGAAGCTGGGCCGTTGCCTTCTTTGCGCGGTCGGAACCAACGCGCATCGCCGCAATAGCCTCCCATGCTTCCTTAGCTGAGCTCTTCGTCCCCAACGGCTCCCTGTACTCTGCCGGTACAGTAGCGAGGATAGCCTCCAACGCTGACATGTCATCTTCTTCATTGTCGGTGCCCTTGTCAACAGCATTCCAGAGCCGTCGGGCTTTAAGCTTGACCTTCATGGTCATCGACCACTCTCCATAGTTGGTGCAAGTCAGCGTCGGCCAACTGGTGCCGCTGACCTCCCGCACCGTGCGAACAACGACATCCGGTCGTGGCTGGGTAGCCACAGCAGTGCCACTGCTGTCGCCCATCTCCGAACCGCCCGTCATCGCCAGCGGTTAGTCTGGCGACGGCGCTTATACGGCTCTGATACCATTTGTAGGCCCACAGGATCACCGGCTCAGGCGAGTTAACCACTCACCAGTCTTGCCGAGCACCCGCTAGTGTTGCCGAGAACACACTAGTTGTGCCGACTACGAACAAGCGTTGTCCATCCCCAACGCACTATGGCTAGGGATAGAAGAAGAAGGAAGAACAGATCATGCACGCACAATACAAGACGCCAGCGTTGGCCGAAGCCCTGTCTGTGAGATGACAAATCTGAGCTCTCTTTACTGAGTTGCCGTGATAGTCTATTTATATAACTCTATCCATCTAGTCCCAGTACAGCTACCCTGCTGCAACAGTGACTAGATAACATACATGACTGACTCTGCGCCGGTCACTGCATGTGCCTACAGTGCTGTAGGTGAGGAGATCGGCGTCTGCACCTGCAACGGCTACAGTATTACAGCAGGGGACCTTTTCGGCGCCGCCTTCCTCTTGCTGTGTTCACACAAGGTAGCAGTAGATTTAGCTAACACAGAACACTTTCTAATATGCCATTTGTAGACCAATCTAATGCTAATTAGAAAACAGTACTCAAGTTTGTACTAATTAGAAAACAGTACTCACAGACTGAGTCAAAATTTGCAAGCAATTTTATTGAATTAAAGAGCTACTTTGCTAGCTGTCTGGGCTACTGATTGATGATTCATTGTTGGTATATCCGCCTTTCTCGGCCTCCCCATTGCCCTCTTATCTGAAATGTCATTCTCCTGAAATAGGCAACAACAAAAAAAAAGGATCAATATTAGACACGTTCCAAACATCAGCTTGCCGCGGCACACCCGCCACCCGTCCGGACACCGCGAAGATGCAGGACCGCTTATACTTGTCATAAACCCAGGACATTAAAGATCTCCACACAACAGATTTATCCATGCTGAGCCTAATTGCAACATAATCTTGTGGGAACGACCAGGTTAGCCAATCTATGCTAACAGTATTGCATCCCTGGTAGAAAAAAAAAAATCAGAGAATCAGAGAAAAGGAATAACCACAGACCTTGCCTAACAGTAGCAAATAGCAGATCCGACCAGTTCTAATCAGACAACCTCGAGATCGCATTCGAGATCGCGTTTGGAATCCCTGTTGTCAATTCCAATCCGGCGAGACCAAGATTCAAAACTGGCATTGTCGGGCTGGGGATGCAGATACTTCGCTGTCAACAAAGGCTATATTGGTGTTTTGACAAGAAGAAGAATCGTGGGCTACAATATATATAAGAGGGAAAAAGGGGCAAATGATAGAAACCTGAATTCGAACAGATCATGGACATCTGTGACCCAAGTCGATTCCGTTCTGCGTTCAATTCAATTTTCCTGACCAACACAGAGCAACGGAAGCATAGGAGCTGAAGACTTGATTCGATTCAATTCCAAACCAATTCCGATCCGAATCCGACTCGCTCGGCCAAAATCGCGCTTTGTGCCGAATGCGGCGGGCTGGGAGGGCAGCTGCGCAAGAGCCACCCTGCGCATCGGCGTCGATGCCGGAGTCGGACGCGGCTCGCTGCACAGAGCGCTGCGACAGCGGAGGAGGGCGCTCAGCGAGCACCGCGCTCTGCGGCCGGCATCCGAGACGTCGGCGGAGCTGCAGTGGCTGTGCGGCTTCCCAGCACGGAAGAGGTCGGAGATCGAACGCGCCGGATGGAGCAGGGCGAGGTGGATGCGGTGGCGCTCTCGGTTTGGGCGGCGAAGGTGGTAGGGCGGTAGAACGCGGCGGTGGCAGAGCTTCTGCTCGGCCATCCATGGCGGCGGCGTGCGTGACGGCAGCAAGCGGCGGTGGTTTTTTTTTGCTTTTTATCGAGAGGGAGACGGGATGGGAACGGAAACGACAGAGCGCAGTGGGAGCGAGCATCATCGTCGTCCACGCGTGGGAGAGGCGAGCTACGCCACGTGTGGCCCGTGCGGGGAGAGGGCGAGTGGGGGCGGAGCAAGTGCCCTGCGCGGTTGGGCCAAAATAGAGCTAGTGGGACAGTTGGGCTAGTAGAATGGGCCAGACGAAAACAGACCAAAAAAAAATTGGTTGAAATTTTATCTTTTTATTATTAGGTATAGATATATTTATATATTGTTTGGAGAGCGTGGATTGTTTACGATGCAGCAGCACGCCTTCGGCTGCAGAATCAGGTTATCCTTGTAGTAATGATCGAAGTTCCAACTGCCCATTGAGGCGGCCTTGGCTCTGCATGATTCTTGGCACAAATACGGTTTGGCGTCGCAGTCATAATCCACGACGGTGCAATCCTCTCTACCCCACTCTGCACACGTACACATGCAGTGCAATCAACCAGAACAGATCAGATTTGGCTGCAGAAATCAGGGCAGCACAGCAGTATGTACTTGTAGAGGAGCTAGGGCCTTGTTTAGATCACCTCCAAATTTCAAGTTTTTTCACTCTCTCTATTACATCAATTTTTAGCCGCTTGTATGGAGCATTAAATGTAGGTAAAAAAAATAACTAATTGCACAGTTTAGTTGGAAATCATGAGATAAATCTTTTGAGCTTAGTTGGCCCACGATTGGACAATATTTACCAAATAAGACGAAAGTGCTACTATTAATCGGGTCGAAATTTTTTGCAATCTAAACATAGCCTAGCTAGATATACATGCATGATTATATTGCTTGCTTGTACCTGCAGAGGTGGAGGACAGGAGAGAGGACACGACCAGGAGAGCGACCCACATAGCCGTGGAGTGCACAGTGCTGCTTCTTGAGTCGTTGAGTGCCATAGCAAATATGTAGTAGTACTCTGAGTACTCTCCGTCCCCGATGCAAGTAGGTTATATGTCGCTGGTGCATATATATAGGCAAATAGAAGCAGGACCGAAGCGATCATCAGTAGGGCAGTTCATTAATTACATCTATCAAGAAGCTTATATCTATCTATCTATCTATCTATCTGATTAATCTGTCCATCTATCTATCTGTCTATCTATCTATCTATCTATCTAATCCGAAATAAAAGGTATCATAAAAAATTTAGGACACATTATTGGGTAATTCAAAAGACACATGTAACCCTACATTAACATATTGTTTATCATATTTATGTTGATGATAGATATTAATGTTAGGTATGTTTATGAATGTTTCCTTTTCAAATGGAATTGTAAAGTTACTATGATTGAATTTGTTAGAATTTTGGGATAAATTATGAGTGCTTGGGTAATTTATATTTTGGATGGAGTATCTATCTAATCTAGCTAGCGGCGGGTCATCTCAGGAGGTGTCGTGTATTTTTCGGGCGAAGAACGAGGGTTAAATCGGCGTCGCTGACCCATCGCTGTTTATACCCCCTCGGCTGCGTGTCTTGGCACTATGAGGCCTGTGGAATTCGACACTGGCTTGTGTGTGACCGAATTAGCGTTAATAATTCCTTTTAACAGAGATCACTTCCAAGAGGCGGGTGAGCCACCCACATTTAATTAGAAAGCTGATTTGCCCACCACTGTAGACTCTAAATGCAGTAGTAGTGTAAGTTATTGCGGTTCAAAACAGAATTTAACCATGCTTAACCCAAAAAAAACACCATTTACCTGCAGGTATGTGTTATTCCTTAGTAAAGTACATCCATCAATTTCTTAAAAAAAGGTTCAAAGACGTCGATATAACGAGAGGCACCACCTGCTTATTACATATTAGTACTAAAATGCACGGTACATACATACAATTAATTAACACACGTGATCGACGTACGTGGTACAACTAAAGGTCGAAGGCTAGCATGGCAACTTGATCATTAGCTAGGTTCAAATTGCATGCTGTGTGTGCGGGTTTATTCGTAGCTACTTTATTTATGTTTTTTTTTTGAGAAATAGCTACTTTATTTATGTAGCACCCATAGACGCAGTTCCTTGCTATCGTCGCCGATCACGAGCCCCGGCCGTCATATATATGATGCAACTCCTCCGGCCTGCGGTCTAGATAAAGGAGAAGGGCCCGGCGACGAGACCCCAGCAATCCACCGATGAGGCAGGGCAGCATGCCGCCGACGACCTGAACTGGCGCGCTCAGCGTGCCAGTGACGCCGGCCAGGGACATGTTGCAGGTGGCCAAGCCAACGGGGCGGTGACCACCGCGCTGCACTGGTTGGCCAGCAGCATGGAGGAGAGAAGGCCGCCGCCGCCGCCGCCGCTGCTGTTACGGATGACGCCCAGTTCGATCATGAAGTCGCCGTTGGTGTCTGCCTCCGCGTTGGCCCACACGGTAATGCCCGCGGCGGAGACGACAGGACCCCTGCTGGCCCCGCTGCTCTGGCGGCCTTCCCTCTCCTGGCCAGCGTATCGATTTTGAAATAAAAAAAATGAATAAAAAGATTCAGTTGTGAATGAAAAAAAAAGTAGGAATAATGTTGAAGTTATTGGGGAAAGGTCTTGTTACCGTACCGCAATATTTACTGGTTTAGACCGGGACAGAGCCGGAATGCCGCACTGCAGATGTAGGCTGGCGTCTGGCCGAACACGTACGTAATTAAAAATAATAAAACAAATAAAACAAGAAAAACATATGTGAATATATATATATATATATATTTATATCTACTTCTAAATATTAAAGAGCAAGCAATTCTTCAAACACGATTTTTTATTTTTAGAATACCCTTTCGTCGTTTATATCCCGTATGCATGTGATTTTTTTGATGAAACCGTATGTATGTGATGGGACACATAACCCGTGCACATAGATGAATTAGAACGATTCGCGTCCAGTGATAATACGAAATTCGAATTTAAAATGTATGAGGTTCTGTTACACCACGTCAGCTGTTTATACTTACTAGCGAACGCCGTGGTACTATACCGAAGACGAGGGCCTTGGCGGCGCCGACAATAGTGAGTAGTGGCCCCCTGCACACCACGGCCGATGCCAGCAGCGGTGGCGGCGACAGAGGAGGAGAGCAGCGAGGACATGGTTCTTCGTCGGCACCATCGTTCAGTTCGTTTTTTTGTTGTTGTTGTCCTGGGTTATGTATGTATGTTGTACTCCTGCTGTAGCCTAGCAGCTTGTGTGTCTCATGTAGCTCCATGGACCCGGTATTTATAGAATGCAGGTGTCCAAGGCCAACGAAAGCTGTCTGCGAGCTTTTCCATTCACCATATATACACAAACACACAACAGATGTATGGATTGGCCGCTTTTTCCATCAGTGCGCTCGTGACTTTTCGGATCGCACAAAAGGCTAGTATGCGTCTGCTGGGCCATATTTGTGCACCAAAGGCCAGTCGTTGTTACGATTGACTGGTCGATTCCAAATCCGAGGAATCTATTGGTGCTGTGGAGCAGATGGCATTGTCCAGTAGTGCTTGCTGATTTTTAAGCGAGGTGAGCGTGCGTGCAATAAGATCTCGAGGTAAACAAGGATGATCAAGTGGACCAGCGTGGGCCATGTTGGAGACAGATGAGCGGTCGAAAACTTGTCACATTCAAATTTCACTTCAGGTCCCTGAATTGAACATAGATAGGGGTGCCTTGCATTCTTTGTTCAGAAACTATGTTTTCAAAAAAGCTTTGAGAACTTTTAATAAAAATTGGGGCACATAAATGATTTCAAATGAAAAGTATTCAAGTACAAAGTTGTAGTCTCTTCGAGCTTTACAACTTTGGTAAAACATTTGCCTTCATCTGACTTACTATGAATAAGTTATCAATTTATATATGTCTCGTACACTACTACCCTATCCATTTTCTCAGGCGGTCAATAACTACTAACAGAGGTTGGCAGACAGTCTGATTTTCAGAGGTGAACACATGCCCGCCTCTGCTATTAATAAATTCAAAAATAGCAAGCACATCGATGGGCCCCGCTGAACCCCTCGTTGAGGCCCGCCAAGCCCATCGACGCGCCGCTACCGCTGCTTGCTAGAAACGCGGCCACCATCTTCGAAGCACGGCGCGAGGACAGGCGGCCACAACCATGCCGTCAGATCCAAGAGCGCATACTCGCGGACGAGCATGCTGTTGGATCCGTGAGCCCCGGCGCCACAAGGACGAGCAACTCATCGGATCAGCGAGCCCTCGCCGCCTCGAGGATGAGGATGCCGCTAGATCCGCAAACCCCGCCACCGCCGCCGCTAAAAGGACAGGGGTAGGTCCCGAGCACGCCGCTAGAGGGGAGAGCTCCGACAAGGTGGAGCCGCGAGCCACTATCGATCGATTCTCCACATACACACACACACACACAGAGAGAGAGAGAGAGAGAGAGAGAGAGAGAGAGGTGGAGATAGAGTATGGTGTTTTCTCTGTTGCGGCAGGGGGTGGGGAGCCGTAGAATAGAGATTGGTTTTATATGCTAGGGTTTGGTAGTGGGTCGTGTTAGCCAAATGTGCTTGGCTCAGTTAACATAGGTGGACCTTATAAGAAGTTTGCCTCTCAAAATGCTTGCTATTTTTCATGAGACGGACATATATGGCTGCAGTCATTTTTGGGTGCCTCCAGAAATGAGTTGTCCGCCTCCGAAAAATCGCTATGTATTTTAGAAGAGACATAAACTTTGTGCTCACCTTTGTTAATCCTAGGGGTGTGTCTCCCAAAATCTCTTTTGTAGTAGTGGTATTGAATCGGATTTCTAGAGGTTGTTGTCTTATATATACAACGGCGCCTAAAAGTTTATCTCGCCTTAAGAGACAACCACCTCCACAAAAAAGTTATTCGTACTTGCAGTCGACATAAATTATGTCCAGTGAAATGAAATTATCTATTCACAGTGGCGGTAGCTTAAATTAGGTTAACCGCCGGTAGAAACAGGAGATGATGATGCTATGTAGATCGCCGCTAGCTATAAATGTTTTTGTACCGATGGTCCTTGCATTGGCCTAACGGACGGTAGTGGTGTCTAGTTTTATGTAGTACTATTGAAATAAAAAATCAGTGACGACAGTAAAAACCATGTTGAGTAGTACTATTGGAATAAAAACATCAGTGATGACAGTGAAAAACAGCTTTATATATACTAATGCGCTCACGGAGTTTACTCTCGATCTCCAGCTGGAGATATCATCGTGCAGCAGGGTGCTTTAGCCACTAGCGGACTGCGATCTCACTAGCGGCGTGCCCGTGCCCCATCCATGGTGGTCGGTTACTCTCGGTGCAGTGTGTGCCGGGCCGGGCTGTGGAATTAGCGGATCCTCTGCTTCCACGAGCCCAGCGGAACGGAACAGGACAGAACCCTAGTGAGAAGATAAGCCCGACGACACTGCCTGACATGAACAGCTGCCTAGCAGCAGTAGAGATAGCTGCTGAGATGCATGCAGCCTGTTCGGGAGGCCGTATCGTATCGTGGATTATTTACTGCTGGCTGATTTGGTGTGAGAGAAAAACACTGTTTCCGGCTGAAAATTTACGATCGTTTACGAACAAGCGAACAGGCTGTGGCTGTCTACCTCCACTGCGAGACGGCCGGCCGTCGTGGCTGATTTCGACGTACTTGGTAGTGCTTGCATTGGTCCAGCCCACGACGTACTTTGATGCGCTCGTATCATATCTGGACTACGTTGGCCTGACCACTATATAATTATATTCCACTGATTAGAATCTTGCAATAGTAGTGTACTAGTACAAACTACAAAGGTCGCTGTGCTACAACTACAAGGTGCCCTAGCTAGCTACAACGGGCCGCAGCTCGCAATGTGACTATGAGCTGAAATTTATGCACCACATAATTCTGGAGGCCAGTCTCCTTGTTATA